AGGCACACTTTAATGGTTTTTTTTGAAGCAGGCTGATTTCCTGGAACTTTTGAATCTGATTTTATGTTGTTCTACATGCATGGGCAAGTTCTTTACTATAGGTGTTTCACTAAGTCTACCTGGGATGCATGTGAAAGGAAAGGATATGATACAAGCATTCATTTTCTGTTCGACCTCAGTTGAATGCTTACTAACTTCTCTCACCAGTTTGGGGTGCACTGATGGTTGTGCTATTATTTTTGTCATGCTGTATGAGCTTTTCTGCAAAGGCAGTTAGGCGGTATGTCAATGAAATGTGATTTTATTTTTTTCCTATATGGGCTGTGTGAAAATCTTTCCTCATGAATGAGAAATACCCACCGCGGTGACGCTGCTTCTCCTCATGGACACGCAGGCATACCCCCTAGGTGCCCAGCTGGTGTCTATTTCTCTGGCTCCACACTTTACCCTCAAGTGATACTAAGCAGTGGTATAGGATAAATACTGTTTTTACACACATACACATAACAATGTCGTGAGTACTTTAATATATATATATTTTTAAAAATCTGTAGATGAACTGCTGAAACTTTGGTTTTGAGTCCTCTGATAGAAAATGAAGATTTCCATTTTCCCTTCCATATCTGAACACAGAAAACTTCCCATCCCAACTTGCAGTTAAAAGTTACAGCACATTCATCCACTACCCTGGTTTTATAGAATCACCCAGTAGCTCCATCTCCCCCCCACAGATTCCCCTCTCACTCTCTGAAAGGGAGCTCGGTGAACCGCCTGGGCAAAGCGAGAGCCCTCTCTGCACAGGCCTGAGGGCAGTGATGGGGCAGCCTCCGACCTTGCTCTCATTGAGGGGGCCAGCCTCGCAAGCAACTCTACTAAAGTGACTTTCCAGGTAAGCCTCTCCATGAATAACAGGATATAAAATTAAAGGAAATGAAGCCAATAAACCAAGAAAAAAATACTGATGAAAAATACAGAAAAGAGGAAACTATTTGTGAGTATACAGATAAATGACTATGCCTATGTTTAGGGCTGGTTGGTTTGTTTGGTTTAATCAAAATGCCTATTTCAACAAAAATGTTAACCAGAGCTAAGTTTCATTTTCACATGGTTAATGTAGAAATAATTTCTCAGAGATTATTTTCTGCTCTTTAAAAACTCTTTTGTTTTCACATGTGAAGTTTTCTCTTAGCACTTTACTTCACCATGCAGTCATATCTTTTTATGAGGAGTTCGGAAACATCTTCAAAATGCAGAAGAACCAGTGATGTGATATGTCAAGCTAGCTGAATCCTGCGTCAGTTTTTCTGTTGCGGGAAGACTGACTCTGGCTCCAGCAGGAAGCATGAACTGCTGTCATTTCCCCTTGTGTCTGCAGGTATGCTGTGGGAACGCCACTTTTGGCTTGTGTGAGAGTATGCTCCAAACTACATTTGAAGGAAAGCGATTTTGCGATTCTTACATAGGGTTGTTGTCTAAACTTGAAAGGTTGAAATTAAACAAAATATACATATTAGTGTGTTTCTATTCAATTTTCTTGTGCTATACATCCACACGAAAATTTCCTGAGACATTCAAAGCAAAAGACGGCACTGATCTGTGGAAAAAGACCACCACATGGTTTCTAAAGTTTAATACTGACAAGTTTCATAATTCATGATAAAAATGAAGTTTTTCATTAGAAATCTGTGGTACTGTCTCTTCTGTTTTTCTTTTTATCTGAAGGGATATGAAGCTCTTTAAAGCCAGTTTTAAGCAAATATACCAAATAGCCAATCAATATTTGTAAAGTACAGAGTATATTGTCAACATAAAATAGCTCTGCTTCTAAATGAAAAAGTCTTATAAGCATATTACCATCATTACCTATTTATTTTGACGTAACACAAAAACTTAGAAGTGTTCACATTCCAAATCTGTTAACTGGCTTGTATTTTTCAACATTCTATCTTAAATATGTTATAATTGATGGCCTTGTAACTAAATATTGATATTTCATACAAAAGGAGGATTAATCATGTTTCCAAATAATTAAGTCAAAAACTATCTGGAAAGCTGTAGCAAAAATAAAAGTGGGCACATATTCTGCATTTTCAAAGTAGCCAAAAGGATTTCGAAACTATGTCACTTGGCATTCAGAAATTCCCTATGCCAAAATTCTGAAACTGTATGAATACATCTTACACCGATAAACGTATCATATGAACAATAAGGTCAAAGGTGGACTTGCAATTAGAACTGTGGTAAGGAGCAGTTTTAGTTACTATTTACTTGCCGGAAAAGGTTATTTCATTTTTTAAAGGATGAACTATAAATATTGGTTTGCTATGTAAAGCACAATGCAACTTTAGCAAACCTCTTTGCATCTCTAAGAACTGGATTTAATTTGTATTTTAAATGTATATGAATGTATACACTTTTTATTCCCTAGCAATTTCTTTCCAAAGCATAGATTTTGCAAAATAAAGAAAACACTACATATGAGGTGAATAATCACAGTTCATAATACTATACTATATGTATTTTCATGCTTACTTCCAATGCTTTAATGAGGAAAAAAGCATGCATTTGAAGAAAGAGAATTAAGTCTTTTATTAGGAGTTAGCTCTTTTGGGACCAAGATACAAATTATTGTAGACAAT